GGTCGGATGGCCTTTCGTGTGTGTTGCAATAGGCCCCCCTGCTCCCGACATGGTGTTTGATGAAGGAGCTTAATACTCCGATAAATTCTCATTCTTGTAATCGTCCTCTTTTGAACGGGGCCTGATAGTGATATATTCTGGAGAAAGGGGAGTGGTAGGTATTGGAGTGATTGGAGTGCTAGCCCTCTTCTCGCGAGGATATGTCGGCTGGGAAATGGGCGATTTAGGGACACTGTTGTTTCCCCGGGCACTGCGAGGATAAATTGTTTCGTACATAGGTGATTGGGGATTGCCGTTTTTGCCATCGCTCCGCGGGTAAATAACCTTGTAGACTGGAGAAAGGCAGGTATTGACATCCTTGGCGCTGATAGGATATATGGTTTTGTAAATAGGAGATACTAATCCTTTGGCGAGGTCGACGGATGATGACTTCGTTCCTTTGCGCAAGTTTGAAGTGTCTGTGGATATCCTGAGGCCATGCTGCCTGGACCGGGCTTGGGAGAGTTTTTTCAATAAAGGCTGGAAGTCGCCGCATGACTCTGAATCTGATTCACTACACACGGTAGTGGCAAACGGCATGGTTATGATGACAAAAACTGATGAACAAAACTGGAATAGAAAAATATAACTCAAAAATGTATTGTGAGAAATGGATGTATCAAAATTAACTGTTTGGATTCAAGTCTAAAACAATATCTCGATCGGAGGCATCCATGGCCAATTTATCCCCCGTTTTCATCTCTATCAGAGCAAGAGGAGAACGCTTGTCTCCTGCGATTCTCCCGATGATAAGTTGACACGGCGTCTAAATCGGATTCCGAAATGTAGATAGAGCCATAATTAGCCAGAGATCTATCGCTACCTCACGTAAAAATAAAATGTTTCATAAAGCTGCCTGATCGCGTTGTTAGACAGGACGCAAATACAAATTCCATGATTATGGAAGCGGCAGATGAAACCGACGGCACCGTAGCTTCATGATTTCATGCAAGCTCTATTGAATCATGAGAGCTAAGAAAAAAAGTCCAGATACATATGTAGCTAGAGGGGGTGGTTGAAACATTTTCTGAATGCGGCGGTTCTCTATAGCCGCGCATTTGGAAACACCTGAAAGTATAAATCTCTTTCAGAAAGGGAAATTTAATCATCACCCTGTCTCCGGCCAGCCAAAACCACTGAAACAGCAGCAGTTGAAACAGGAGCTTGGTGTATTTAGGTCGATTTGGCGCCCAGCGCCAAACTATACCCATAAATAGAAATCAACAGACGGGTGCAATTCCTTGTGGGATAGTATGCGGGGTAGTGATTCAGATATATATCAGTTTGAGGGAATGATTGGACCTTGATCCCCAGGCCAGCAGGAGGCGATAGTAGTAGATAAGAACGTCCATCCGCTGGATGTTATTGAGGATTGTTGTCGCATATAAATATTAGGAGGCTTAAACCTGCCAACGTGGAGGTCTAACGGAATAATATTTATCCACCCGGCTTCATGATTCGGCTGAGTAAGCACTGGTATGATGCTTGGCGCTTGACGTCATTCCCGGCTGGAAGTCCTGAAAGAAATATTCGAACAAAATGACCAAGTAAACTGCTGCAACAAAAAGAAAAGAGATCTAGCAGTAGAGATGCCATGTGAATTCCGTTCACCTTGTTTCCTTTGAACTAACCACACCAGTTCCTTTCGGCTGGAAAACATATTCTCCTGGAAGACGGCTAGGGAGCACATCTCTGCATAGGGATAACGTATAGGACGACAACACTGGGCAATGCGCGGGAAGGGACGCTGAATGCGGACAGTCGAGGCTGCTGGAGGGGCTACTAGGCTTGATAGCCAAAATCCTGACTGTTGGCATATCGAGCTTGAACATCAGCGGGCCATTGTTGGCGCTCCACTCATCATAATAATCATCGATAGAGCTAGTTCCACCGGATTGGGGACACCCCTGCTGGACAATGTCGCTGAATAGGGTGACTTCGCTTGAGTCGTGGGAATTCCACCCATCTTCATTCCACCAGCGGGAGAGGCCCTGTCAAGAGCATGCAGATAGCCATGCACCCCTTGAAAATGCAGGGGGTAACGATAGATTTCCAAATTCAAGCACCCTGCTCATTCCTGTTTCCAGGGGGTCGCAAAATGCGGTTATGCGAAAGCTGAATTTTAACCCAGCTGCCGGACCAGCATGGACACATGCAGGCGTGGACAGCGAGGATGACCAAGAGTGCGGGCGAAGCCAACCCTCCGTATCGGATGAAGACAGCGCCCTGATTCTCAGTGATGGAGACTGGGAGCCAGACACTCTAGCTGCCTTTGAGGTGCCGAAATGGAAACGCGTCGGTACGTTATTCTTCTACAGTTTTATCTACTCATTGCTCCTTGTGCGCGTGTATCTATATTACCCAATGAGGTATAGCTAACGAGTGTATAACCGGACAGCTCAAGTTTTCGTGGCTGTACTGTATTGCGTTCTGTCAGCCGGTGTGATATTTGGATATGCCGCTCTTAAGCCAATTCTTATAGAAGAAGGGGTGTATAGAAATCGATGCACCAATGAAGAGTTGGAGAATGGGGAAAGACTCTGCTACAATCAAGATCTCAGGTTCGTCAATTTCCAGCTTCTTCACTTTCTAGAATACAAAACTCACTACGTTTGACATAAGATTAAACTTCATGTTCACTCTTGCGGCGGTTGCAACGAACATATGTGCTCTTCCAGCGGGCACCATCCTCGATACGTTCGGTCCACGTTTCAGCAGTAGTGTCGGGAGTATCTTCATCGCATCAGGATCTCTTTGCCTCAGTCTCGCCTCTTTGTTGCCATTCGATACATATATCGCCGGCTATTTTCTTTTGGCCATTGGCGGCCCATTCGTGTTCATACCTGCATTCCAACTATCTAACACGTTCCCAGCACACTCTGGCCTTATTTTAGCAATACTTACAGGTGCTTTCGATTCATCAAGCGCCCTGTTCTTACTCTTCCGCATTATCCATGGAGGGTTTTTCACATTACGCAACTTATTTCTTCTTTACCTTATTGTTCCCACCTTTATCTTCATCTCTCAGATCCTCCTCATGCCATCAGCCTCTTACAAAACAGCCGGCGAACTGATACAGCAAGTCGATGATGTTATTGCTGAACATACCGCGGACATTTCAGAGGACGGTGCAGTTATCTCTCCAGAACAGGAACAACAACTCAAAAACCGAACTGCAAAGCGAAAAAATATAATATCAAACGTCCTGGAGCTGCTAGGCTCCAACGACCCACCGAACATCACCACCTCCCCCTCAAAGCCCCCACGCGCACCAAAACCACCCAATGACGCCCACAAACCAGACAGCATCTGGGGTGCCCTCCATATGGCCTCAGCCCTCCAGCAAGCCCGCTCTCCCTACTTCATCCTGATGAGCATCTTCACTGCCCTCCAAATGCTTCGCGTAAACTACTTCATCGCCACAATAGACATACAATACGAGTATCTGCTCTCCTCCACCCAACTCGCAAAACACGTAAACTCGCTCTTCGACATCTCCTTGCCAGCGGCCGGCATCGTCGCCATCCCTTTCGTCGGCCTTATCCTCGATCGAACAAGCACAGTCACAATCCTAGCCACGCTCGTCGGCTACTCGACCCTCATCGGCATCCTGGGCTGCATCCCCCATAGCCTCTCCGCCGCGTATGCGAATATCATCCTCTTCGCCCTCTACAGACCCTTCTACTACTCCTCCATATCCGACTTTGCAGCCAAGGTCTTCGGCTTCCAGACCTTCGGCAAGGTATATGGGCTCATGATATGTCTTGCGGGGCTGGGGAATTTCCTGCAGGTGCCCCTGGATGTCTTGACGCTGAAGCTGTTTCGGCACAACCCGATTCCAATGAATATTTTGCTGACGATTGTGGTGTTTGTGGCGGGGGGGTTGTTGGTTTTGTTTGTCTGGTGGCAGGGGAGGGAGCGGATGGGGATCGTTGATGTTATTGTTGAGAATGGGGAGCTCGGAGAGCAGCTACGCGGTGGTGTTCCGGGTGATCATAGAAATAAAGATAGTAATCGTAATGTTCGGAAGCGTAGTTCAGGGAACGAAACTCAGAACCATGCCTATATTCGTGAAGATCGTTATGGCGAGTGGGGTGAGAGAGATCGACTGGTCGCAGGCTCTCGTTCGGGGGGTGTCAATGGCAATACGCGTGCGTATGGGGCTATAATGGATGGTTGATTCTATTTAATTCTGCGTTTATCGAGGGGTTTTGTGACATGGCGCCTTCTGTCCACTGAGACATGGGTGTCAACCTACCTTGGAGCTGCTTGGATTTGCTATTATATATGTCACTGTCTCCGCTACTATACCGCTGTAGATATGTGTAAATATTTCTGCCACATTTTTTGGATGGAAAGCGTTAAATATATGTCTATGCATGTTTGATGCTTGGGTGAATGAGATTTCGCTCCCTGCTCTACAGATTTGTGAAACGGACCAAACTCAACGATGACGTTAAGAGTTAAATGAGCTTATTTCCTCACCGTGAATTCCATAGCTTTCGGAAGTTTTATATTAATGTTATTTTATTTTATTTTATTTTATTTTTTTTGGAAATTTCTTCAGGTCTCTCTGGATATTGCTAAAGAAGATAAACGATATATATCACAATTGATTTATGAAGCAACAGGAACAAAAGGTAGATAGATATTCATTCAACCTCTAACAACTGGTACTTTCCCCCCTCCCCACGCGGGCCCTCATATTCCTCCAGCGCCCTCTCCACCGCCTCCATGAACCCCAGAACCTTCTCTTCCTCCCACCTCCTCCCAACAATCTGCACCGCAGTAGGCAATCCATGCATTTTCTCCGAATCGTAATGCTTCCACGCACCCCGCGCAACCGCGTTATCCGCCCCAGCCACCTTCAATACGCGCTTATATGCATTCCGCTTCTGGCTGGCATTCTTTGTTGGCGACGGTTCGATCGCGTCAGCGATCCTATCCACGCGGCTGACAGGCATCACACCGCAGGAGTAATCGAGCAGATTCCAGAGGAAGGTGTAGCCGCAGGACGAAACGGCGTCTTTCATAGCGCCGTGTGGTAAAGCGGGAGTCGCATTGGCGGGACACAGGATGAAGTCGTAGCTTTGCTCTGGTGAGCTCCACCATTTGTGCCAGGTGGTACGGAAGGCTTCGCGTTGGGCAACGAGCTTCCATAGTTCGGCACTACTCTTGTGGCCGAAGTCCTTGAGTAGGTAGGCCCAGGTGCTGTCGCGTTTGATGTAGCGGACGTAGAGGTAGTAAATGTAACGGAGGGGCCGAGGGAGTTGGGCGTATTTGGTTAGTTTTGCGGCGCCGGGATCGCTATATTCTCCAGCAAGGAAGTGGGAGTTAAAGGTCACGCAGCCGTCGGAGTTTAAGAGGAGCGAGGCGAGGCGAAGACCGATGAGCGGGCTGGCGGTTGCTGGCGTTGTGATGTTGATGAGGATGTGGCCAGCGGCGGAGAGGGCAGAGGCGGTAGTGTCGATGGCATGTGCGATGGCAGGCGTGGGTGGGACGACTCCTATTTCTGTTGTTGATATTATAATACGAATTATTCCAAAGGTCATCACTGGGGGCAAATACCATCAGACTTCATAACTCCAATCTTCAATTTCTTTGACCTTGCGTCCTTCTCCATCTCGTCTCTCCACGAAATTGGATGGACAGAATTATCGTATTTCCATGGCTGCATGCCAATGACTGCACGAGTGAAATATGTCAAATCATTCAGCGTTCGTGCCATTGGGCTAAAGACACTCGGAACCCCTTCCTGTCCTGCCATGCTAGTGTTGATGCCAGCCTTTGGCCACCGACCAGTGCTGCAACGCAGGGAGTATATCCCACTCCATGCTGCAGGTACACGGACAGATCCAGCAACGTCCGAACCGATACCTATCCGCCCACCCAATGCGAGTAGCGCGGCTTCACCTCCAGTAGAGCCGCCGGGGGAATACTGAGGGACATGGGGGTTCAAACATGGGCCCCATACGGGATTATCAGATTCAAAAGATAATAACGTCACTGGCAAATTAGTTTTTGCATATGGAATTGCACCTAGAATGGATGTTAGCCTGGAGAACCAACATTGCTCATGCCTGCCTTTCCTCCATGCCGGGAAAAAAAAAAAAAAAAAAAAAAAAAAAAAAAAAAAATACAAAAGCTGTTACATACCCGCATCCTTTAATAACCGCACAACCCCTCCATCCTCTTGATATGGCTTATTCGCAAGCCGAGCGTAGCCCAAGCTGATATCAAAGCCTTTAACTTGCAATGAATCCTTTAATGAGACAGGAATACCCGCCAGGGGACCCTTGGGATTTATCTCTGATTTCGCCCACTCTTCAGCTTCTGGCAGCAGCAGTTCTGTTATGCAGTTTGTCTTCTCCTGCGCTTTCACTGCAACCTTGCCGTAAGTCTGTAGGATCTGGATTGGCGAGACGATACCCTTGTGCACATCTTGGACCAGCTCCTCAATGGGCTTATCGATTACGGATCTGTCGAAGGCAGTGAATGCAGAATGGTAGGCAGCTGGAAGACTGGCTATGCGCTGTGCGCGTTGCTCTCTTTTAAGGTTTCTGGTAGAGTTGATCAAGTTAGTTCCAAGCAGGGAAGTTCTCGGGATGCGGGGTAGGACGGCTACCTTTATTCGTCGCTGATGGAAGTACTCAAAGGGGGCCAACATGGCTACTGTCCACAGTGAGGTTATATACTATTATATAAAACAAAGTGTGCAAGTAACGGGGACGAAGACGAGGGGAGGATTATAATACAGAGCTGCGAGCACAAGTGGACGTTGTGGATGAAGGAAGCCCCGGATGATTGCGATGCGGGGAGACAGAGCTATTTGTAGGGCGGCGGCTAATTGGGGCGCTAGGAAGCGCCACCTTCGCCGCTGGTTGGCTGGCTTTGCCGAGAATGGGCCGCCCCCGCATTTGGGGAAGAAATTGAAAAACGCAGTTGCATTCAGATGTACTGTACTAGTATTGTCAATTATATTGCATCTGCAGGAAGTTCGAAAACAGGTACATGTATCTAGGTAGGATGTACATACACTATACGTGTGCAGTACAAGTACAAGTACAGTGTGATATTGATAATCTGGGACAGTTCCTTGTTCCTGAACTTTGTTCTAAACTTTGCCCTGGCTCGCTGAGAACAGAGCTGGGTTAAATACGGGTTAACACTGTAATTGACCCTTTTGCTACACAGATTGAGGGAGGTCTTCTGTATAAGGGCACAAGTGCTACCTGTTATGTCCAGCCAGGTTCGCCAGCCATATTAACCACCTGCATGGGCCCCCATCCGCCTGATACTTTTACTTTTTACAGGAATGGTCCCCACGCCTCGGATTTTAACCATGCATCTATCTCGCTAGGGACTTATGCGACATGCTCTATCCTTGCGCAAAGAGGTGATCAAATATCGAGTCACAAATAAACAGCCAAAGACTACCAATATACTAGGCTCAATCTCCTCATTTCTAGAAGATGGGAGATCCTGCTTTTCTGCAACGGAGCAGAATGGATGGATTCAACAACCATTTTCAGGGGGCTGCAAGGATAATCACAGAACATCATGTTATCCCGACAAACTGCATCCCAACTGCGGTTTGTTTGTGATTCCCGACTCAGCGCTTATGTCAAAACCCACAAAAGAAGAATCAACACAAAAATAGGAGAGCTTCTAAACCCCAGTTGTGTCCTTCAATTCTCTCATCCTGTATCATCACAAAGTCTGCCATGAGACAACACTGGCTTGTCTTTCATCCCTTCAAGGCAGTGACAAAGCCCAATCCTCCTCAAAGGACACTCCCAAGATGGAAGACGCGATACCCCTCCCCGTCGGCTACGATACTGTCTGCGGGAAAATCTCCTTGACTGCTGGGTACGAGAAGCACAAGGCAATCTTCCCTCCCAAGGTAGAGGCTGTTCGTGTTCTTGGGAACATGCATGATCCAGTCAAGGGCGCTCACCCGCGCAATGTCGGACGCTCCTCCATGCTCGCCGGGATCCCCTACTACGTATTCGGTCAGGTAGCCAATGTTTCAACCGATGGTTACGCCTTTGGGACCGTTTCCAATGCAGTGGCCAGGGCACTTGAGCCGTTGACCGACCCTCTTCCCACCACGTACGTGTCCGTCGAGCGGAACGGCTTCATTCACCCGTTTCTCGGGTTGACTGAAAACGAGGTGAAATATCAGCATGACACTGGCATGCACATTATCATTTCGATCCAAGGAGGTATCTGTGAGGGGGAGCTGGGGAGTGGAAAGGGATGCGTCTGGTTTCAGAAGTTGATCCGCGAGAAGAAGGACGGGGTTACCGTTCGTAACTATTACCAGGGAACCGGCGTGGCGCCTGTGAAGGTCGATGGCGTGACCGGCGAGCTGCTCAACAAACGCGTCTTTGGCGAGGATGTCCTTTTCGAAAAACATGAACCCGCATTTGGTACTTTCTGTTCCGCCGTTGATAACCAGTGGTACTACCTATGGGGCAGGTACTGCGAGGACATCTATCTCGCTAGAGTTTCGCTTCTCCACCCTTTCGAAAGGGATTACTACCAGTTCTGGAACGGGTATTCATTCACTGGGAATATCAAGATGATAGCCCCAGTGCTGACGGGATATTCCCACGGGACAATCTATAAGACCCAGCTCTTTGGCCACACCTATAAGTGGGCATTCATCGGCAGCACTGACTGGGAGGATTCCGCTGTGATGATGGGCGCTGCCAACGATCCACAGGGGCCCTTTGAAATCACCCAAGTCGCCAGTGGAGAAAAGCTGCGAGAGACCGGAACGTTTGCTGGTTGTGTTTACGCTCATCCATGGGCTTACGACGAGTCCCTTGGCGAGATTTTTGTGAGCTGGCGTGAGCAATGGCCTGGCGGGATCATTGGGGCAAAAGTCCAATTGCAAATGCGTGAGTAGATAGATAAACGCGATTTAACTGGTATTTGTATGTAAATTACCAGAGAAATCCTAACTTTGTTTTCAAAGTCCATCAGGGAGCCTTCTGGAAAGATATCTCCCTCGACAGCCTCCAGAGTAAGTCATCAGAAGGTCTGAA